TTTTGGAAGTTGGGACATGTGGAGAGTCTAAAGCAGCCTTTTCCAACCTTGCTCCCTCTAGAACAGCAGTGAGTAACGTGTCTCTCTCCATCTATTTGGTCTATATCTCCCATCATCCATGGCGGCTAGAGCTGATAGAGGAGTTGGAGGAGCACAGGTTCCTCACTTCTGCTCTAGATGTTTATGCTCTTATTCCCATCATTCCAAACAGTCCCTAAATATGGAGCTACTTTCAGGTTCTTTCAATCTGGTGTATGAAAAATTAAAGTTCCCTTTAACTGGGTCTGCCTAATACTTTTATGTAATTTAGTTAAGCCAGCTGAAGTCCAATGAGTATGTTAATGCCCATCTGAAAGACCATGACTACATTGTATGACTGTGTGTTTCTTCAGTAATGTAAGGAAGCTGGGGTCATACGGCTTTCCCAAAGTTGGACTAGGAGGCAGATCTAGGAACTGAAAATGTGGCCAGGATGACCCAGTATGATCCTGAAATTCTGTGTGTAGCAGAGTCATTTGGAGATAGATAAGGGGAGTAGTCTTTCAGCAACTACCATACTGCTGCAAGATGTATTGGGCCTAAAATAGCAATCATTGGTAAATGACACTGTAACAAACCTATTAGATGGAGCATTAAGGAAGTCTTAATACGTCTTTCTTGAATCTAGTAACCATAGACTTCGTATGATGTTTTCAAAAGCTTGTACTATGAGGAAAAAAATAAATTCTTTTCTCATAATGTTAACACATGTCTATCATGCGTCTGTGCCTTAGTCTTCCCCACCCCCCAAGTTAAAAAGCACTGTCCCTTTCAATCTTTCCTTTTACAGTACTTCTTTTAGAGAGTAATCTTGTGGACCCTGCCCTAACGCAGGCAGCATCTGAAGGCTGATTTGCTTGTTCAGAGTCCCAGTTCAGAGGTTGGAGACAGTGCCATTCCATCACCCTTTCCTGTCAGCACAAAAGCATTCCAGTTGCTCTCCAGAAGGTAGAAAAGGTGTCTTGGTAAAGGGGAGGACCCTAGAAAGGCCAGAATATAAGGTACCATGATGCTTGTCTGGCCTCCCCACCCCCAAGACACCCCATTTAGATGAGGAAAAAAGTCAGTTGACTGACAGATGTAGGCCACCAAGAGGCAAATACCACCTCCACTGCTCTTCTCAGTCTGCATAGGATGCCCATAATCAATCCTCCAAGCAAAAATTCCTTGTGGGCATTACAGTTGGATTGTCCCTTTCTTGTACCAGTTGCAATGCATATCTATTTGAAATGGGGAAAGTAGAATTGTGTCCAGTATTCTTATGCAGGTACGATAGATAATAAAGCAGTATATCTTCCGTTACTCTTCAACTCCATTTTAGTGCTTTTCAGTTAGTCTGCTGTTTTCTGTGTGCTGCTGCACACTAGTTGACTCTGTAAATGACCGAAATATTTTCTTGGTCGTCAGACAATTTAAACTGTGAGTGAGTAGGATTGTTGTGTCTTGCTCTACCCCATCTCTCCCTCCGTCACTGTTAATCAAAATTCATGTGGCATTCTGTTGTCTGCTCACTCAGTTTTTGATCTTTTTGGAGCTGTTTAATTTGCTTGGAATTTAGATCCCTGAATAATTTGGTGTCTCATACATATTTTTCCATCTCATTTTCAAAATTATTTTATCTTCGTGCTGGTTGCAGTACAGCCAGCACTGAGATGCCTGCACTGTTTGCTTTGCTCTGTTGTGAGAGCTGCACATTAGTTCAGCTTCTTGGTCTCCGTGCATCACATGTATGGGTTCTACGCATGTGCAGGGCCTCATTGGGAAACTTCCAAAACTGAGTAATTTTGATGGGGGCCCCTTATTGTCAAGGACACATGTCTGCAGCAGGTTCCCACTCATTCCCTCACTTCCTCTTTGATTCCCATTGTGGTACCTTGGAGTAGCTCCTGATCTCTTTGAGACATCAATTCTGATTATGCTAAGTTTTTTTTACTTGTCACTCAGTATATATATATCATTTCTTTTTGTTCTCTAGTTCCTATTCCTTTATATGATGCGGGATCACCTTCTTTGGAAGGCCATCTTGCACAAATGTATTACATGTATAAATTTCACTGATGGGATTGTCTCTTTTCTTCTTTGCCTAAAAGAGGCTCATACTGTTGTACCCTCTGACTTGGATCCTGAACCTCCTCAATGAGGACCAGGGCCAGATCTGACATCTGGATTGTGACTGACTGCATGGCATCTCATTAGTCACAGCCAGTTATCAATTGGAGCAAACAACCCTCTACCAGGCTTTCTATGGTTCAATTTGGCAAGTTTGCCTCTACTGCAGGAATGGATCTGTTTACCTGCTGAATCAGTCACCTTTAATTGTCCTCTTGTTCTAGAGTGGTTTAAAATTGTTGTCCTTCCAAGCTCACCTCAACACTATTTTTGCTTCCCATATCCCCATCCAAAGCTGTACATTTTTAATGCTTTGTTTCTGCAATTTCTTTGGAGAATTCGGAAACTCACCCTACCTGTTCCTTCATATTGACCAGGTTTCCACGATTTTGAAGGCATTTTCTGCAAAGCTGTCCAAACCTTAGCCATACTGCCCTAAATCCTGTCTCCTAGCCATTATGTCACCCCATAGAGCCAATTGTTTTTTCTTCTCTATTTCAATGGCTTTCATTGGCACTGTCCCTTTATCTTCTGTCTGTCCTGAGGCCGTGGTTTGTTTGTTTCCACAAAACTGAGGGAATGAACTGAAATTCATTGCTAACATATATGTGAAATGGTAGCAGGAGGGGTTCCCAGCAAAAATTCCTTATCTCTGGAATCTTCCCAAACAAAGGCCCATGCAGCTGCAGGTCCGTATGTGCACTGATGACCACAGTTATAGGTGAGCAACCTGTCTTTCCTTCTCGATGCCTCCTATACTTTGAACAAGCCTATCAGTCCATAACATTATAATGGGAAAGGTTTGGTTTTCTTAGGAGTCTTATTTTTCCAGTGAAATTTTGACAATCTATGTAGATGACACACATGTACTTACTTAAAAAAAACCTAGAGGGCAGGCAAAATTTTCTTTGTGAAAGCTATCCTGAGTAAGGCTTGTTCTTTTGTCAAGTGATAGAAATAATTATAAGATTTTAGGCTGACATTCTTTTCATTCTGTTGGGGTATAATCTGTCAACTATGCTGTTGCCATAAATTTAGTATAATGTATTTGACATCTGATGAAACATTATATAATGTTTTGTGCCTCCTAAAAACCTGGAGTGTTCCACAAAGTCTCTGTTGTCAGATCTGATCCTGGCATGAGCTATTGTAGCTGAATTCTGCTTACTGGTCTAGTAGCAATGTTTATTGAAAACTGTGTTGTTAGTATTATTTACATCATTGCTGATTACAGTAGGACAACTGTAGCTACAACATTTAGCCATACCGTCCACAAATGTAATTCTCATTGAGATGCTCTAAATCAGGAAGAGTGAACATTGACCTCATTGCCTTCCGTTTCTGTGCCTGCTTGTAAATAACTAGGATGTGCAAGTCCAAATTACTGCATGGCTTCTACTCCATGTCTGTGAAGTAACTATTTTTTAAAAAGTTTTGAGAACACAGTACATTCTGTACATAGGAACAAATTCATATTGTTACTTTAAAATCCAATAGCTTAATTCATGTTAATGATCACCATGCCTTCAAGTTTGCATCTTTTTTTCTTTTATACCAGGTTCCACTCACGTTGTGACACCTAGACGTCTACTGGATGATGTAAAAGCACTTACTGTAACAAAAGCAAAGGATAGTGTATATTTTAAAGAAGAATAGAATTAGAATATATGACAGTTTTCTGCTGTGCTTAACTTAAACATATTAAGAAAGAACATGTAATATAAATACTATGGACGCAATCTACCCCAGGTTAAGGGAGCTAAGTGCCATTGATTTCAGTAGGAGAATTACATGTTTAATTTTCTCACTGAAAGCAATTGTACTTAAAGCACTCATCTTGAACTGGTTTGTACCTGTGTACATATTTTATATTTCAGTATTATATTTGGGACTGTTTTTATAATTTGAAAACTGCCTTTCCTTCTGGGGTTGGAAGCTGAAGAAGGTAAGAATGAGAAAGTGTATGTAACAGCTTGTGTTTTATTGTAATGTGCTTGGTTATAGATGCCATTTTGCTGTGAAATGTTCAGTGTAGAGAATGTTTGCCACTGCAACGTACAATGCTGGGATTTGGGAAATGTGCTTGTATATATGCTTACACTTTTCAGTAATAATACATAAACTTTCTATCTTATAAACATGTTCATTTCTAAAGATAACATTATAGAAAGACCATGAACTTAAAAGTATAGAACAAAAGTTGTAAATATAGATGTATAGCACCATTTCACTACTGCAATATGTAGACCAACGAAACATGCAACTTTTAAGAATTCACTGGAAGTAGATCGTAATGATGTGGAAAAGATATTTTTTTCCTGGAACAAAAACTTGATTAGGTGTGTCTGGGATTGCATGGATTTTTCAAGGGCATTTGGGTAGTTATTCATGGAAATAATAGGCATTTTACCATCAATAAAGAACTTTTGAAGAAATGTTTTTCATTCCTTGTTTTTCTAATTGAAAGAAAGCTTTGAAAGAAATTTCAGGGCTGATTTTATTTCCTCCTTTTTATTTCCTCCTACAGCTTGTGCCATTGATAATTGCAAGCCTCTGAATTTGAAGGCTTATGAGTATGCTCCTGAAAGCCAGGAAGCAATGGAAGGAGTCTGTCTCCCTGCTCAAACTTAGCTTGATCGCTATTACAGCCATCTACATGCAGTACTTCAGATAGGAGAATACGTCATATCCTGGTGGGCCTGGTCTCTCTTCTCTGACCCCTTAAACTTCGCAGAGGTCACTTTTCCAGCCTTGGAGAAGCAGCCAGTGCATTTCCTTCCATGCCAGGTGCAGGTGCAAGGCGGGGGAGGGAGCAGATTCCCAGCTTCAAGGTGCCTCCAGTCTCAGATCTGAGATCTGAAGAATCCTGCCCACCCTCCTATGCTGTTTATGAATCACAGGATCTCTCTGTAACTTTTTCACTGAGATCTTGCAAACATGTACCCCTTCTCTCTCCCTCTAATGGGTGTAGCGAGTGGCATGAATGTGAGTTAGGGCTAGTCAAATATTTTTAGACAGTTCAGAGGTGAGCAGTACTGTTTATCTGATCAGCTTTATTGGATTACTTATACTACAACATGGACATTTATAGGAATATAATATTGGAGAATGCATGGTTCCTAATTTGCAAGCCAGAGGAGCATACAAATGATGACTACAGTACCCAGAAATGTATCTGAGTTGTTTTTGAGGTCATAGTGTAGTGGACTGAGTAATGGACTAGAACGTGAAGCTCACTGGGTGACTCATGCTCAGCCTATCCTACCTGTGAGGATAAAATTGAGTAGAGGAGGAAAATTCTGTAAGCCACCTTGAGTTCCTCAAAAGAAAAAGGTGGGCTATAAATGGAATGAATTAATATGAACAGAATACAGTATGAAAGTGATGCAGAGAACACACAGAGAAATGATGATGCAGCATTACTCCTGGGACAAGAATAAACTTGTAGTCAATATGTGAATAGAATCCCATGTAGTATCATTCTTACTGATCTTTTATTTAATAATAATAATAAAAGATCATAATATTTCCTTCAAGGAAAAGTCTTTCTTTAATTTTTTCCTCGTGTAACTTTCTTTTTCAGATAAAGTTTTATCAGTTTCACAACACATTCAGATTTAGTACTGGCTAGCTGTACTGGCGAATGTCTGAATTTTGGCCTTGGCTAAATCTTCTGAGATAACTTGCATCATGTGCTCTGTAGTTTTCTTCAAGTTGTTTGCGGTTTGGATAACATGGTCCAGAGAAGAGTTTAATATCTGTTAATTACCAAAAAAATAAATAAATTTTAATTGCATGTTACAAAACTCATCACACATTTAAAAGAAGGGGAAAGCAAAAACATGTTACAGGTTTATTTCTTGGATAAGATTTAGAAAGATTCATACCACTAATTACATGTTAGGAATTTCTACAAAATTCCATATAGTAAAACATACTGTTAGAAATAATTATCCATCAACAGGCATCCCAAATATCCATATTTATTAAACTTTAAATAGCATCTAAAGACCACCCATTCCAAAATTGAAAGTTTCATTAAATCCATTGCATTAGCAAACATTATCCTTCTAATTTTGTGCCAGCTTTTTAGCTAAGGACATGGAAGATTCATTAATGTTGGCCTTGTGTTAAATTCCAAGAGATAGGTAAGTAGTTAAGAACATTTGTATTACTGAAATATTAAAGAAGCACCTTTTTCTGAATTATCTTCTTAAAAGGAAGCTGCTACTGAGCATTGCTGAAACATTGGAAGCTAGTGTAGTGTAATGGTTAAGAGTGCTGGACTGGGTTTTGAGTCTGGGTTCTTGATCAACTTTCACTTAACCATTTGTGATACACCCTTTGGGAGAAATGTTCCTAAATAAGTAATAAACTCTGCACAAAAATCTAAATTGCCTCCCGTCATTTAATAGAGTAGCCAGATAATTATCGAAAGACGTGGATCATCTACATCATCTACATCAAAACTGTGACAGATGGCTGAAGTTCTGAACTAAGCAACAGATGATCACCAGCATAAAGAATAGGCTTATATTTTAAAGTGTTACAATTGTAACAAAAACCTATTTAACAACTTTTATCTTAGTGGTCTCCGGCTTTTTTGGACTTGTGTGCACATGGGAGATTGAGAATCGTGGCCACCAACACTAAATGCCTAATTGGGATTACTGCTTTGGCATCTATCTGGCATGTCTATAGATCTAAGGCTTCACCCTCTTCAGCTAAAAAGGATTATTTCATGTCTGTTGCACACTGCAACAGCTCTTTGATAAGGGATTATTTAATTCGGCTAATTGCTGGCAGTGTAATAAACATAAAGTGCTGTCCAGTAACTGCTGCTTTTGAGATTTTTGCAGAGATAACACTTTATACTGGGAAAGTCTTCAATATTCACCAATGTACACATGCGTTCATATTTTCCTGCTCCATGGAAGTTAACAAACAGAAGAACTGGATTCTATGCTTGCTTTTGGCAATTAAGTTTGACAATACAAAATTGAAATGATAAACACTCCTATACATGCAGTGTTTTTGATGTATGAACAAGTAGCATATGGATGGCAACTTCCATTGGATACTACTTTGGATTTTTGGTCTGCTTTTGTTGAAGCTTATATAACCCCTGGAAAGTTGTACACATTTTGTGCAATTCCATATACATATACTGAACAGTGGAAACAAATATAATTCAAATGCTGCATTGGAGACCCATTTTATTAAGCAAATGGTCCAACTTCTTATATTTTTAATTACTGTCAAATCTTTTATTAAATGCTGAACAATATGGCTCTTGTATATACAGGGGCCCCTCCCCTCTTACCATTGTATTTGTGTCATCACTCTGCCTGTATCTTGGGTTACATGCTGACTTCTTTCCATAGATGTTTCTACTAGCAAGGTACTGTGGTGAAAGCATAATGGTATCTTGTGTTCTCGAGTAACGAGTTTGGGGAATATATAGTTTTTGTCTAGAAAGTAACAAGGAATCTACATAATTATTTCATACTGAACAGAACAAAAATTTACAGGGGAAAAATACATTTCCACTTAACAATTCTAAATTTACATTAGATTGTTCCTATGGACCTTAGTACATAGAAAGTTCTTATGGACCTAAGTGCTCAATCAAAACTTACAAGAATTTTTGAAGGTCCTAGAATTCTAATGTTGCTGTAAACGGGAGGGAACGCTTACTGGTCTGTATGTAAAGTGGTTTGGTGCAAAATATTTAAAACTGATGATGGTTGTTACCTGTCACATAGTCTGTCTATAAATTCTTCTGGTTGTTTATTTGTACTAATCCTTTGAAGGACAATCTTTTTCTTCTGTGCAGAAGCTGAAATAATTTGAAGGTGATATATTATTAAATAGGCTCAATTCCAAGCATTAAAGGCTTGAGACATAACAATTGATATCTTTTAATTAATTCCCTTTAATTAAGAGTTATTCTTTGAAGGAAATAGTCCTTTGCTAGGGGACTGCCACCAACAACTGGGTGAGAGGCCAAAAGTTCCAGGTCTGTGACTGAAGTCCTAGACTGTAGAGCCCGATCATTTTCCTTATTTGTAAAATAATGGGACAGTCCACCCAAACCTGACTCTAAAGATGCATTCATTGTACATAGGTGACATCCTCATTCAATTTGGCTGCTTTTGAGCCAGCAAGCAACTTGTGCACTCCAATGGTTACAATTGGGTGTTAGTTATTCTTAAAAAAATAGTCAACAACAACTCCTCCTCTACCTTTATTTTGTTCTTTGGGATCCTCTCGCAGTGGTTGATGAGTTTTAAGCCTCTGTTCCTGGCTTGCACTTGAATTGTCTAGTTGGTCACAGAATGACGTGTCTTCTGTATTGCTACCTAAGAGTCCCATCCCCCCCGCAACCAGCACCACACAGACATGTTAAGACAAACATATTGACCTTAAAATAAGATTATTTAATCCTTGCATGATTTTGTCAAAATTTATAACTACTGTCAAGCAAACAACAGGTATAGTCATTGATCTGTATTACTAGAAGTCAGTAGCCACATAACCGTGACACAACCTTTGCTGCTACACTTCCACTGGACAGAAAGGCAAGCGCTCTATTCATGTTAAAACTAAAGAAAGTTCAAAGTCAATGAGTGACTTCTTCACCAGCACAGAAGTGGCTGCTTTTGGCTGAGGCCACAGAGTACGTGGATTCATTAATATACATGTGAAAATGCAGCACAGAAGAAGCTATGCTGGATCCAGTGGTTCTACTACAGCAACATTTTTGCAGCTTGCAGAAACCCTGTTTTCATCCTCATAAAAGCAGGACATCCAATGCTTTTTGTTTCTGATGCATAATTTATTACGATTTCATTAGACTAAGTTTTGCTTGTGCTAGTTGTAAACAGTTGCGCAAGCACTAGTGAAACAATGCCCCCACAACCCAATTATTTATAGCCTTTGAAAAAATACATCAAGAGCTAGTGCAATATATTTTAATTATTTTTTTAAAATGTTAAATTTATTTGCACATGATCAGTTTACCCAGTAGTGAAAAAAATACAGTTTTCACTTGTTTGGGTCTCTTTCTTCTGTTTTGATCTCATTCAGGTTTGAATTCTGCTGAGGCTGAGGCCCAGGACAAATTAAACTTTGACTGAATTACACTGAAATGACAATAGATTATTTTAATCTTTAGTAGGGATGCTTTGCAGTTATAAAAAAATAAGCTCTCTAATTAATATTGCTAAAATAAATTACCTGAGTAATCTAAATCCACTGCTGTTCCTTTTGAGAAGACTGAGAATCTTTCATAGTCTGACTTTCCTCTGTTTGTCTTCTTGTGTTCTATATTTGTATTTCTACATTGAAAATAAAAATATGGCAAAATGATTTAACTGAATGTTAACAGCAAACAGGGATGCAATTAACAGAGGAATCCTTTACATGCCTGCTCAGAAATAAAAATTACTGATTCAATAGATTGGTTCTCATGCGAGAACAGGCATTGCACTATGTAAATGCACTGTGAATGTTTGTCCCTTAAATTGATAAGAATATCCATCCAATTTGTACTAACCTGCTGGAAGAACAGAAGCATGCTTGTTTTCTTGATAACTGTATTTTCAACATAGGATGGATAATAATATTATGTTCCTTTACAGAATTTTCCAACTTCTCAAAAAAACAGTGATCTGCAGAATAAGCTATGCTTCCTTTAAAAAAAAATACAGGGGAAAAGGTTAATTAGTGGATGACTTCTGTTAGAATAGTTTCACTTGTTAACACATATATTTGCTTATCTTGCTTTACCCTGTTCTTTCATTTCAGTGCTACCAACTGTGTTGGGTTCTTGATGGTTGGTGTTTTGGGGACTGGCTGGAGGTGGAGATCTCATTTCCCAATAGCATAAATTCCTGATGGGGAAAAAACGGGCACAATGCATGTCAGATGGAATCAGTAGTTATGGAATGGGAATAACAACTTCAACCATCTCCTTGTTTGCTGATTTCAATAGTCAGCTTTTGACATATATCTACAATCATGTAGACTAAAGCTCTCTAGAAAGCTGATACTCTATCTAATGAGCTAAAGAATTATTCTAAACTTTTGCTACCTTGATGCCAATTCATCTTACAAAATACCCTGAAAACATATGATTAATAATGTTATCTAAATGTATCAAAATGTTATCAAGTTAAAAATCCAAAAAATGCCATAATTTGATAAACCTACATTATGTATAGTCAAATAAAACACCCCTGAATAAAACTACTTCATGTCTTCTCTTAGATGGATTTTTTCCTAAGCTAAAATCCCAAACAGTTAAACATCTATCATTTCCTTATTTTGATTCAATTGTTTCCTCACTATTTCTCACCTTACCCCATCCTTAGCCTTCTATCTCTCCCATCCTAGCCGCTAGTCCACCTATTTCTCTTCCTCCCACCTCTCTATCCCTCTGTCTGCCTGCCTGCCTGCCTATCTATTTAAAACTTCTGTATCTCGTCCTATACATGAAAGTATCAGGACGGTCCAACAACAAAGACAAAGTATCACATCTATAATAAAAGCCCAATTAAAATAAGAATTAGATCTTAAAATAATGAGAAATTAAAAAGATTTATTGAGTAGAATAAAGTGTCAGTGTCAGGCATACTTCTCTGGGGAGCTTGTTCCACAACTGGGGCACCACCATGGAGAAAGCCCTTTTCCAGGTAGTTACCCTCCTAATCTCCTTCAGAGAAGGCTCCTGAAGAAGGACCTCCAGCCCAAATCTTAGGGGGTAGGCAGGTACATAGGGAAGGAAATGCTCCTTCAGATAACCAGGCCCTAAACTGTTTAGGGCTTTATAGGTTATCACCAACACCTTAAATTGAGCCTGGACTTCAATTGGTAGCCAGTGTAGATGGTAAAGGACTGGTGTTGTGTGTGCATATCTGCCGGTCCCTGTTAACATCCTGGCTTCTCTATTTTGGATCAACTGAAATATTTTTACTCCCTGTCTCACTCTTTATCTTACCTCTACCCCTTTTGAATTGCTATTTTCCCCTCTCCCAGCTGCTAGCCTTGCTATTGTCCCTCACACTCCTCTTTTGACAAATGAGGCCTCATGGCATGATTAGCCACATTCTTGTGAATGCTATTTTGTGCTGGCATCCACAGCAGTTTCCCAAATTTCCAACTGTGTCCATGGTCCAAAAAGATGGAAACACTTGATGTGGGTTGTAGTTTAGCTCTAACTTGTTATTTCCACTGTTCCCTTGCATTCTTACTTACAGAGTGTTGCCCTCACCAGCATAACAATTGCACACTTGTGCTTCAAGACAGGCTATATGCACCTCATAATTCAGCAAATTTAAAGTGGTGGTAATTCTATATTAAGAGTCAATTATTTCATATAAGGAATATGAGCAATCCCAGTTTCAGGGAGCAGGATTATATGCTTGTTGTATTGTCAGTTGTGTTTCACACAATTGCCACTATTAGCTAGTAACGTGGGAAGTCTGAGCGTCGAAGAATTGAGGTCTTTGAATTGTGGTGCTGGAGGAGACTCCTGCAAGTCCCTTGGACTGCAAGGTGATCAAACCGGTCAGTCTTAGAGGAGATCAACCCTGACTGCTCTTTAGAAGGCCAGATACTGAAGATGAAACTCAAATACTTTGGCCACCTAATGAGAAGGAAGGACTCCCTGGAGAAGAGCCTAATGCTGGGAACAATTGACAAAAGAAGAAGGGGATGGCAGAGGATGAGGTGGCTAGATGGAGTCACTGAAGCAGTCGGTGTGAGCTTAAGCAGACTCCGGGGGATGGTGGAGGACAGGAAGGCCTGAAGGAATGTTGTTCATGGGGTCGTGATGGGTCAGACACGACTTCATAACTAACAACAGCAACAATGTGGGAAGTTGAGGTCAGAAATGAATTTGATGTGGTGTGCGCTAACATCTTCTAAAACAGCCTTTACCTTTTGCAAAGTAGGCATATGAATTTGAAAGGATAACCTTAGTAGATATTTTATTCAAACTATAAGGCAACCAATGATGTTCAAAAGTTTGTACTGATATTCTTTAAAAACATATTTGTTCATATTGAACAGAAGTTGTTTTAATTTTAAGGAGGAAGGGCCAAAGAGAGGGAGGGTCACTGCCAAAAAAATGCTGACTGAAACTTGTTTAAGACTTCGCAAAAGCCTGACGCTAGCCTTGTTGAACACATAGTACAAAGATTTTACATTGGGCAGAATCAAGGATTAAAAGAAATTGATATGTGATCTAGTTCTGAACCTCTGATATTGGAAACTTACCTATCTGTGTTTTCTTGATCATTGTTACCACTCTGATTTGTTGTAAGTGCTCTGTGGGACTGCAGCTCTTCAGCCTTTTTGTTAGGTGAAAAGAAGCAATGCTGTATTACAAAACAGGACACGCTATGTTTACATAGGGCTGCATGACTTACTTTGATAGCGCCCATTTAAGTACTATACAAAACCCATCACATGTATCTGAATGATAGCAGTTTACTGCAATTTAAGCATTGTGGCAGGCTTGAAAACCTACCTGTGTTAAAGAAAGATGATAAACACTAATTAAAATATCAAATCACTTACATGGATAGATTCCTTATTTACTGACTTCTCTAGAGATTCTTCCATTTTTTTACAGGAGCTTTTCTTTTGTAGCTCTGGCTGGCTAAGGAGAAAACAAAATGTGTCTTCAACAGCAATGTAACTAACTTCTTAATTAATGTTATGGCTCATACAATTGAAAAAAAATATTTATATATTCTCCAAATCAATAAACAGTTGTTTGTGGGTGTTGCAAATCTGAAGGTATAGCAGATTAAGCTGGTATAAAGAGGGAGAAGGAAGACAAAATATGTAGTTTATATTACATTACTCAGTCTTATATCTCATATTTATAGAGTTGGTTCAACATCTGCAGTTTCAAATAAATATTTCCCAAGGTGATTTATATGGAAATGTCTGACTGCCATCAGTTGGACTTGTGTCTACATAACAGCCACAATCTAAAGAATAGAACCCATTCTGTGAGCCTGAGAGAGTTTACACGGTGTATAGGCAAACTATCAAAAATAGCCCTTTAGATATTAGTCAGTGCATTTAGACTTGGACTGTTAGATCAGGTTTGCTTGAATTTGCTAATGGCAAAGGCCACAGGCCTATGCACTCTCTTCTTCCATATAGCTTCTCTTCCAGTTTGCAGCTTAATGTTCATCATTATTTTCTGAGCCTTCTGAGTGGGAACATTATGCTGAGCACTTAGCCTCTCAACTAGAGATGTTAACCAATGCTATACTGTGTTGGGAATTTCCTTTCCCTCCTGCATCCCATCTATCCCCTGCATCCATCTTCTCCCATATCAACTCCAGGAGATTATCTTGGGTAGCTGCAGGGGAAGGAGTTCTAGTTCAGTCAACTAGTGATCTCTGTTCTGTTTCCAGAAAAACACCATTTGATGCAATCTCAGAAGCGGAAATAAACATACCCATTCTGGTTGGGAGGGCAAGCATTAATAATTGCTTGTCAATTTATGAAAAAGTTGTGTGCAAACCTATGTTATCCTTCATGCCTGTCACTAAACCATGGTTCAAAATATTGCCTGAAATGCTTTTAATTTCATAATCCTTTACAAAAGTTACTGTGAGACTTAATACTTACTCCTGATGGCAGGTGCCATCCCTTCCAGCTTGGTTACATTGTTCAGGTATCTTCTGTGAAGTTCTATTCTCTCCATACTTCCCAGTCTTAAAAACATTCATGCCCATAGCACTCTTATGTGAATACTCACAAATATTTGAAATTGCTGGATTCTGTGTAAAAGAACCACATGGGAGATGGAGCATGCACAGTGTATGACCTACTTAAGAATTTCTAAATTCATAGCAATTATACAGCTGTAGTGTGCTGAATTTTTCTATGTACCACAGTCAAAGTTTATTCATTCGCCTGTTTCATCTGCAAAATCAACTGGGCATGGCATAGCTAGCCAAAAGCTCTGGATCACTGAGAAATAGTGTGCTTCTTTCTTTTGTTTGAAGAGAAAGACTCAATTTTGGGGGGTAAACCTTCAATTCATTCAAAGGAATCCACTATCAACATTGCAGTGTCTACTATATATCTAAAACTCAAAAATAATTCTTTCCTAATTCTTCCTCTAAACTGAAGAGGGTTGTAATCAACACATCTGGAGAGCACCAGTGTGGAGAAGGCCACTTTAGAAGGAGAATGGGAAAGCTGCATCATTTTTTCTGACAGCACAATATTTCACACTTATCAATACCAAAGATTCATAAGACAGGCTTTTTCTTATTGAGCAATTTGAATTGAATCCAGTCCCATTTTCCCTTATTACTTTCTAAGACTAGAAGGCAGAAAAAATACAATTTTTGAAATAAAAGAAAACCAGAAAAATCAGAGAAGGAATTGTAATATTCTTGAGTAGTACTGCCCTAATGACACTATTACCAAATTTTGTGAATGTACTGTACTAATATAACAACACTACCATGAAAAAGAGTACGTGAGATACCAAGGTCAGACTTTTCTACTAGAGTTTAACAGAGTACCTCAGAACAGTTTGAATAGGAGGATGACACCGATTCACAGGGTGTGCATGAAGATGATGCCACAAAAGTTGAAAAATGTGGATTGTAAGTCTTATCAATTTTCTCTTTCATATCTTCAAGTAGCATCCCAAGCTTAAATATTTCTCCCTCAAGTTTTCTAAATCCAATTACAAAATACCAGATTATATAACATGTACAGTGTATGTCATGATACCTCTTCCATTCATTATAACGTTAAGGATACAATAGGGTGGGAAGGTACATTGCATATCAGAAATTAAAATATTTTAATTTAAAATACTTAATGTTTAATATTTTCTGAACACTGTGATGTTGAATTACATAATTTTTGCAGTGATTTCAAAAACATGTGCTGGGGGCCAGATTCAAAGCAGCTCCTCTGCCAAATATGTACATAAAATCAAGAAGCAATGCTGGAGGCTCTATCACAGAGGTTTTTGGCATTTCAGATCAGATACAAATAGAAGAGGGCTCTGTGTGGTTTCACACATCAAACATCAATTAACATTCACATCTGCACTGAGACAGATGTGAAAGAGCACTATTTTCTGTCCTATACTAGACTACAAAAGCAAAATTTCAATGTACATATATTCCTGCAAAAGCTATGTCTCACTCTGTAAAGATCACTGGTTTGCCTGCCTGAACCTACCTGTTCTCCACAGCATATAATAAACAGCTGGGCTTGTTTCTGATCTCAAGCTAGGAAGGATTTGCAAGAAAGAACGATGACAGCACTGTCACCAAGTCAGTTCCTGTGAACTTTGGAACTAGGGTCATTAGTGCCGTAGGAAATATGCTGCTTACATTGCATTGCACAGCAAAAAAAAAAAGACTGCCAACTTTTTCTGAACAATGTCCTGGAAATCTATTTATTTATTTAAAACATTTGTATGCTGCCCAATTGCACCACAGTATCTCTGGGTGGGTCACAACCACGAGCTAAAAACACAATAAAAACATCATAAAACCAGTAACACATTAAAACAATAAAATACAGCAAAACATACAAAACAAAGGTCTATGACAGTTAGTTATTAAAATGTTTTTTAAAATGGAAGGACTTTGCCCAGCGCCAAAACGAAAGCAAGGAAGGCACCAGGCGGAATCTCCTTGGGGAGAGCATTCCAAATATGGAAAGCGGCTGCAGAAAAGGCCTTCCTCCTAGCGGCCATCCCTCTCACCTAAGCCATTTAGGGCTTTAAAGCCGTTCAGATGATTCAACATCTCTCCATTACATATCCCACAGACATTAGCAGCCTAATTCCAAAAGCACAAATAATCTGTTTGCTTTACACTATAGAAAAAAAGAGAGGGTGAATTAAGACCCTGGACCACTTCATACTGCATTTGCAAATACTTCTGCTTCCACAAGCTTCCTCACCCCAGCTTCTGTCCGCCTTCCCATATGTGTGAGAGTCTTCACCCTCCATACTTCCTCTCCACATAAGAAATAATGTGGGGGTTTTAATTTTCATAGAAGTCCTACACAGTGATTTTTGTAACATACACTGCAACCTATCATTTATTTAAAACATGTTTATCCCATCTAATGTCTGAGATGGATCTCTCTCTAAAAAACATAAAAACACAATATTCCACACACATACAAAAACACCCACACCCAGTAAAATCCAATGAGCCATTAGCCATTAAAATACTGGATGAAAGAAAGGTTTTGGCTTGGTACCAAAATAAAGTGTCAGCACCAGGCACACCTCTCTTGGGAGCAGGTTCCATAGTGGGGTCACTATCACAGGAAAGGCCATTCCCAGGGTAGCCACTCTTCCTAGCATCTTTCAGAGAGGGCTCCTAGAGAAACCTCAGCAGAAGAGCTCAAAGTTTGGGCAGGTATATATCAAAAAAGACCTTCCTTCAGATATCCAGGCTCTAAACCATTTAGGACTTTATACATCAATGTCAATACCTTAATCTTGCCTGGACTTCAATGGGTAACCAGTAAAGATGATATAGGACTGGTATTATGTGGTCTCATCTGCCAGTCCTAGTAAGCAGCCTCGTGGCTCTGTTCTGTACCAATTGGAAGTATCCAGACAGTTTTCACGAGTAGCCCCACACGGAGCACATTACAATAGTTAAATGTGGAGGTTGCCAGAGTATGAATTACTGTTGCTAGGCTCTGCCTATACATGCTTCTCTCTGGGAGTAAGCCCCAGTGAACTTAGCTGGACTTACTTCTGGTTAAGCATGTATAAGACCCGAGTGTTAAGAACATGGTAAATACACATTTATTAATGTCTATAATATTACTGTATTTTACTTAAAAAGTTAAAAACTTGACCTGTCAGGATCGAATTCTTTGACATAAGTTGATCGGTACTCATGATTCTGGAGCTGTAAAGCACAATGTTTCTCCTTTGTGTCTAAGTAATTCTGTTCCAGTTGATCCAGTTGCTCTTTTAAAAGCATTAAAAGCTTCACAAATAAAACATAGCAAATATGTATGTCTTGCCTATTATTTGATAATTTTACTATAAACAATGTGATTATTCAGTGCTGTCCTTAAATTATCCTTAGCTTCAACAGAAACAAGGTAATACAAACACAATATTAAACAATATTAGATTACATTGACCTTTTAAACTGAGCCCTAGTTCTAGATGCTGTCAAAGGAAAGGCAGCTGCTACATGTGACAGATGAAACAAATTATTTAAAGAGAATTATAATTCTGCCATTTTTAAAGTCAAGGAATGTCTGCTCTGTTTAACTGAATTCTTATTTGAACCTCTTCTGTAAGCGCATTGTGTGCAGATCAAGTTCCTAACCTGTTAGCTGTGGCTTCAGTGGAACATGGGGAACCGCCATACAAGAAATGTGGAAATGGAACTGCCCATTCTGCACAGGAAGGCACATGGGGTCAGGCAAATTCTGTATGAATGCTGACACATTTCTGTCTGCAGCACCATTGCTGGACTGGGGTGTATGTTCAAATAAATGTCCTCAATTCCATTCAGGAAAATTCCCATAATGTTGGAAGCCATTTTTGAGCTACCATTTTCTTTGTGTATAGTTGTGCTCAGAGAGCTACTTCATGAAATATTATGTATAATATTACTCCTTCATATAATCTGGGATAAGGAATATTATTTATCATAAAATAAGTTGAATAATGATTAACTTGTTTCATTTTTTTCAACAGGAATTAAGTTTAGCTAACTTAGACAAGATCATAAGTAAACAACCTGGTGACAGCAGGTGTTTTGGACTCCATATGCCTGACCCAGCACATCTTATGCTCATGTATTATGAGAATTGTATTCCAATATATCCTTATATCTAATCTAGTTTCAATAGCACTACAGGAAAATAGGATTTTTTTAATCTAAAAAAGGACCACACACAAACACACACACACATTTACCTGATGGCATTCTTGCACTGGCAATGCATCCTGGGTCACACATTTGGAAAATATTTCCACCTGTAAGAGAAAGGAATGCATTTCATTTCAGCTTTCAGATGTCACTATTAAAAAGGAGGCTAAGTTCCATGTGTTTAAAATAGAAATATTTCGTATTACTTTTGCCTTCAGCTCTTCTGACCGTTCTTTTAGCATCTGAGAAAGCTTTTCTTCTTCTGTTACTTTGTGCAGCAGAGAAGTTACAGATGATTGCCTTGCCTTATCAGCCATGGGTAAGGGTGAAACTGTTATTCTGGAATTTGATTCTAGAAAGTAGAATGGAGAAAAGGATTACAGAACACTCGGAGATCTGTACACTATTTCCTTGGCTAGACAATGGACTATAGAGAAAAACTGCAAACAGGTAAAGTATCAGTCTAATTATCTGGCTAGCCCATTTGAATTACCTGAAAGAGGCAACACAGAGAAACCAGGCATGGGTTTCACTGGAACAGTTATAGGAGAAACTGCAGATATTTCAGAAGATACTCTGGCACCTTGTGTTTCAACACCAAGTGTGGATGTATAGGAATTTGAGCAAGGAAGTTTCTGTTAAAATATACGAAAGCTCAAATAAGTAGAAAATTAACGACCACAATGAAAACATCCACTTGTTTCTTTCTTCCTGCTCCTTCACTGCTCCAGAGTCAGCCATCACAAATAACTTGGTCACATTAGACACATTTTGAAACTTTATTACATACACACACACACAATCAGTCTCATCTAAGAACACGTGGAACTGCACAACCGTCCAAGAAGGTGATATTAGTGACCAACTGAATGTTACAATCTTTGTGGGTTCAAAGAGAATTTCTTTAGAGATGGCTTTATGATTGCCTCTTTTAAGTGGGCTGGGATTTTCCTACCAACTCCTCAATGAGGCATTAGTTACTTTTGGATACAGTCAGTCATACCTTTTTACATTTAACAATCAAGGGTAAGTATAACGGAAAAGAGTGGTAGCTGTACATCTCCAAGTACTTCAGGTCATAATAACGGAAAGTCACCTCACTGACTATGACTAAACTGTACATTAAGCTTCAAAGAGAAAATATCTGGGTCTCCTAAATAATACATCTGGTATCTTATCGTGGAAGACTTACCTTAGCATTAAATCTTAGTTGATCAATAAGATTCTGAGCTTCTGCTTGTTTTGTCAGCATCTATTATTTTAATATATGTTAATTATTTAGTATATTAAAGAGAAAAAAATACATGGACAGTTAAAATTTGACATTGTCTGTATATCTTTCTTATAGCCACTGGCTGAGCTGTCACTAATTAATGTTCTAACTGCTCGGTATACTTCTGTATTTAACAACATATTACTAAATTGCTAAATGTGTATAGAAAAAAAGCAGAGTTCAGTAAGTAATCCTTGCAGAGGGACTAGGCTCAGGCAGTATTGGATACACAGGGAGCCAGATGCTGGATACAATGGGAAGTCTGGAAAGGTGGGAAACTAGAAGCATGGCTGAAAGGAAGAATTCATAGATATTGTGCTTATCTTTAGAAGATGCCAGGAGTGAAGAGGAGGCCCACAGCCAAATCCTGCTGTGAGGGTGGTATTGCAGGAGATAATGGCTTTAATTATTTGTGTGTTCACAGCTGCTTCTCCTCCTTCTCAGCCTCCTGTAATCTCTGAAAACTGACTAAGCAGAGGGATCAGGAGGCTGCAGATAGAGTGGGGATCAGCAAAAAACTGTGATTAGTATAGCATGAATAGAAGTATCTTTTCAATTGCATTAGGGATCAGTAGGATCCCACCCCATGAACAGATTCTTCAGTACAATTCTAGTATAAGAGTTCAAAATCCTTATTAAAGCAATACTTTTGTTAGGGTAAGTACAAGTCACAAAGTAACATACAAGATATAACGTACATATTAAATAGCTCAAAAGGCTTACTCAATAAGAAAATTTCAGACTTCAGCCACAGATGATTTAATCAAGATAATTTTTCCTGACATGTAACTGAAGTTAACAAAAGTTTAAATTGGCCTTCTACCTGTGTCTGGAAACCTAAGACAACAGAGATCAGTGGTTTACCGATCTCAGAGCTTCTACAGAGGTTTTAGCAGACATAAAGTTATATTCCATGACAACGCAAATTATATATAAGCAACCATCTTATATCTACCTCTAGCTGTTGGTCAAGTTCAGCTCTGCTCATTTCCGGTTCATGCTTCTTGATTGCAGCAGATTCCAAAGAATTCACTAAAACATCACCCACTGTTGCTGAGTTACTAAGCACATTTGGGGAAGAGTTGGTTCTTTTAATTATAGGGTTTGTGTTATTTCCTTTGGGTATTTTGACTTTTGGAGCAACCTTAGAGAAATCAGGAAGTCGATAATGAACCTGTCGTTGACCATATTTGGGATTATGAAAAGATCCTGTTGTTTCCAGAAAATATTTTTGATCTTGGTACTTTTCTTTTGGGGATGGGATATAATTGAATTTTTCATCCATTACATGGTTTTTCTGAGTTGAAAAAATTGGATTATCTTGTTTGTAGTCTTTTCTATCACAGCTGGGATTAGTACTCTCCTCTACTGCAAAGTACTTATCTTTGATCAAATCCCAATTTTTGTCAACTGATTCACTTTTTATTTCTCTTTCAAGATTTTGCTTGCGTTCTTCCTGTAGTGAATATATCTTTGTGCTTTCTGAAATAGTAATCTGATTTAGTATAGTTTCATCAAAACTTTCTGTATATGATATCTCTGGGATTGTTTCAGAATCAATTAGGTGGCATGGATTAGATAATTCTTCTTTGGGAAAATGACGTAAAAGGACATCTGAAATCTTTGAGTTGGATAATTTTTCATTTTTTCCTGAACTTTTAACATTCTTATATTGTAATTCCCTTTCTGTTGTTAAGGTAAATTCCATATCATTTTTCTTTGGCAATAACACCAGATTTATTTTCTTTCGAGGCAGTTGTGCCTTGCAGTCTGATATTTCTTTTGAATGATTGCTAATATGAGATGTGAAAAAACTTTGAAAAGCACCTTCTACAGAAGGAAAATCTTCCACATTTTGTGAATCACAATCGAGCTGATATCTATTTTGTAGATCTCCATCATAAGGCAAATTTTCCTGCTCCTCATCAGTATTGTCTTCAGAGTAAAGCATACCATAAAATATATTATTCACTTAGTTTTCATACAGTCAGGCTCTCCTTACCTATAATACATGCTCATTATATTTTGATCATATTCCACATCTCAAAGAATGTTGGTATTCAAATTCTGTAAGAGTTGAAATAACATTCACATTTTTAATATACCTGTACTATTGATAAGAACACAACTAAATCCGTAAATATTCCTTCTGCTCACCCTTTCAAAACTTTCAGTGACCTATTTTACATATTTCTTCCTTTATTTACTACATTTATTTCCCACTTTTTCTTACAACAAGCTTGAAGTACCTTATAGAATTCTCCTCTTGCTGCTCTCAATCCCACAACAACCCTGTGAGGTAGGTTGGGCTGAGGGTCTTTGACTAGCTCCATGGCTGAGTAGGGACTAGAACTCACAATGCCTGAGTCCCAGTCCCACTCTTTTAACCACAACCCCACACTGGCTCTTACATTTGATATGCACTACATATACTATACTATGAAAAGCCTATGGAATTATCCAAACTTCTAGCCTTCTGTGAAGAAAAATTATATTCACAGCCTATATTAGCACAGATAATTTACTCTTGATTGCTTTGCAGTTAAGTTGTTAATGGGCAGAATAATATGCTAATAATATTTATAGAGATATTATTTGGTATTTAAATTTGAAAGCAAATATTTAACATATATGAGTTTCTATTAACATGGTGAAAATTTATGGAATTACTCAGGGCTGTCTTGATGGGCACTTGCCTGTGGGCCCCATACTAATCTGTGTATGTTAACCCTTGGAAAATTGGAAAACTTCCAAAATTAACAGTAGTTGTAGTTGTTGTAGGGGCCCCAGTACACTGCTTTGCCTGGGGCCCATAAGGCTGTTAAGACGGCCTTGGAATTTCTCTTTTCCTTGTGATAAAGGCACTGAACTAAATGGGCTATTAATTCATGCTCCATTTATCTAAATGGAAAATTCCTTGACCGCATAACATTTACAGCTTTTATGGAAGTTAGATTAAGGAAATTAATAGAAATAATATTTCCTACCTCTTCTTGTCCCTGTGCTCCCAGAGGATGGGGAAAGAGTTCCAACAATGTGATAATGTGTAGAAAGCTGTCGGGGGAGTTTGGAATAGAATGCTTTCCTTATATAAAATTCCCTAGGCTAACTCATCTTAGAATCCAAGTTTGACTCTAATTTCCCCTCTTCTCTGGCAGCCCATCCCAATTCATCAGAGAGGGTTTTGAGGGATACAGAAGAGATCACAGGAGAGAAAGGGGCAGAGAATTTCCTCCTATGATCTACCTGAAGTTATCATTTTGGGATCCAAGTTAGTATTCTTAAAACAAATAGGGAGTGAGCCATGAAACATTAGGAGGAACTTTAGTAGAAACAATGTGCAGAAATTCTACAAATAAACTTCACTTTATATGGTATATATTTTATAGTTTTTATGCTTAATGTTAATCCATAATGGTTTAAATCCAGCCGCATTTAATTCAGTAGGTTCTACAGAACTCAGTGGGGCCCAAGACTAAGCAAAGTCTAAATATCTGGAAGTACGCTGGAAATACTATATTAAGATTGCCATCCTATATACAGTATATTTACCTGTAAGCACCACTGAACCCAATAGGGCTGAGTAGACATGCAAGGAGTTGCACCAGTACTTTATACAAACTTATCAGCAACATATTCCCACTAATTTTGCTTGGCTACTGAAACAAACTTCCATGACAACATTGCTAAAGTCTGAATTGTTTCTGAGTCCCTGCTATGCATGCTCTGGTATTTGTGACAAAAACAACTGTCAAACAAACTTTAAACACTACACCCAAAAATTGTTATTTCAGGATACACTTCTTCCACATAACCCTCCCTTGTAATAAACATTCAGGTAACAAAATACCATTATCTCTTTCATTACATTTACAGAAAACAGAAATAATTAAATTGATAATGCTCATTTACACTTACATATCAACGGAAAATGTTCCATTAATTTTCTAAGCAACCTGTATGGTTATAGCAATTTAGCTAAAAATAGCTAAAATTCTCACATGGCTTTTGGTTGTCTACTACCAAGCAGTTTAAACTCCCAAAAAGATACAGAGTCTCTGTTCCACAACTGATGGATTGTATTACATCAGCTGAAACGCTATACTGAAGGTAGCAACCCTGGAATAGCACAGTATCTTTATAACTGCAACCACACACCTTGTTATTTCTTATTCTAGTTTTATCCTACTATTGTTCTGTGGGATCACAAAGGAATATAGAGTAACAAATAATTTTCTGTCCCCAGTGGAAAAGTCAAACTGAAACTATTCTTACTTTTCAACCAACTTTTGTTTTTCATGATATCACTGAAACTGTATTTAGAACTGGATCTTGGATTTCTTAACACTTGATGCCTTTAAAGTCATAAACATGTTTATTCCACCTGCACTGTAGGGACTTTTAATTATTTATATGGGAAGGTGCATGCAAGTTAATTATTTACTATTACCATGGCCACCATGTAGAACTGCCTCTGAAGATCAAGATGCAAACTTTGCATCTTGAAACTTTTATTGATTAGAGCAGCAATTTCCAGGAAAGGTAGTTAGTCTAAGTTAGGTGGAAGTTGCAAAGAAATGAGATCATGGTGCATTCCTGCCAACATTTGAAAATCCCCAAAGATATTTTTTCACAATTATCATATTGTGTATATTGGGATTTGGAGGGGAGTTACGTTCAATGTTAGTCTTATATGCACTCACTGAACTGACTAGGGCTGAAGCTAGACTAACTTTGGCAACAACTCAAAAGCCGGTCATGTGCCTGTGCATGTCCAAGCAGAAGTTTTCTCTGCAAGATCCTGTACACTAAGGAAATCATTACAGAGCCAGACTGTTCCCTCTCACTAGTCTATGAAAGGAAGTGGAATTTTTGTTTCTGTTATTAAAATTTGTAGCTGGTACAAAGTTATGCTGGTGTTAGAAAGCGTGAATAACCTCATTGGGCCTACCTATGGGGTGCAAAGGACTAACCCACTAACCTTCCATGGTTAGTGGGTTCAAGGCCCTTTCAACTGACTCCACTGAAGCTACTGCACAAAAGGTCCTTTTGTGCCAACAATTAGGATTCTGAATCCTAAAGTTGGTGGTCTCTTTATATTTACCACTGAAGAAGTGACAGTTGGAGCAATGAATGTAGAAACAGTTGTGAGATATACTATGTCAATATCAATAATTTAGCTTCCAAAGAAGTATGCATAAGACATCTAGAACTTCTTTAGTTTTTTGTAGTGCCATGTTTATGATTATGCAACTGTGTACTTGATAAAGGAAATACAGCAAAGGTGTTTTCAAATGCATTTGTTATGGATGCATTGTCAGGGAGCTGGAATTTGTGGTTGCTCCATCAAATACTGACAAATGCAGAGTTTGCTGCATAATGTGAAATGGTATTATGCATATGCTGACTGCTCTGAACTAATCTGTTACAAATTTAAACTTACAGATTTAGTTACAAATTTGAACTAACTGTTAACATTATTAACAGTTTGAATTATATAGTTCTGGAAATGCACTGCATGAAATGGTAGTTGTGCAGTGCATGGAGGCTTAGTATTCACACATCCCACTATGTGTAAGCACTTTAGAAATACAATGTATCCACCTCTCAGACAGATTTAAGTTAGAGACAGGAAGCAGATTGGGGAGCTGAACAAAACATTAATACAATATCCTTTAAAAACAAAAATAGTAGTAGCAATTTAACTGGGGAGAGAAAACAGTGACTGCATTAAACAGAATTGGAGTGAAAAATACACTGAAATATTTCACAGTACAAGTCTGCTTAGTAGTACTCCTAGGTAAATTGATATACGTAAGTAATAAATAACTGAACCCAGAAACATTCCTTGGAATCCTTAAAAAGATGTTGAGTCACTTATTTTTGCTCTGAAAGAATGCCCAAACCACATTTACTTGAAGATGAGTACGTAAGTTCATCTGTTAGTGCTTGATTTGTGGAGAAAGGGTGACTGCATGTCCCACAAGGATAGGAGGCGGCTGGTGTCAGGCGGCTGAGAGACCTGCTGAACATGTTCTAAGTGTCATCAGCTGCATCACATTCCACATGTATTACTGCTGTTATCCTATGCCAAGCATTTTTCTGAGGTGTTGTGCCACAGTAGTGGATTTTCTAATGGCATCACATCTGCTGAGTGAAAATTATGGGTGTATTCCCATCTCCACCCCTTCCTTTATGAACATATTATTACCAAGACCTGCAGGCAGGTAATTACAATTATCCTATATTGCCTCTCCCTTTTTCTGGTCCTACCAGCTTTGTAAACGTCCCTTAGACTAATTCAAAGGGAAAAGAGGGCCGTAATTGAAACTTTTGCTGTTTTTACCCACTGTCCAGACCAAGACCTCATAAACTGACTGACCTTTACGGCCAGTACGGAAACGGGTGCCTGTTAAGAGCTGCTGCAACCCTAAGACACAAGACACCACGAAAGAGGAATCGTGGCTTTAGATTGTATTACTCTCCTCAGACTTCTGGGAAGTCTTCCTCTCCAAGGGAGGACACAACCTGTACAGTATCAGGTTATCATACAAAAGAAGAAAAATCAGTGTTCAAGTTTATTGTGGATTAATCCGAATCACGACCTGTGCTATCCCCTATTTCAACGTACACTCCAGAGGCATCACTCCGAACATTGCAAGGAGGAATTGAACCACATTAGGCAGCTCTCTGCATATACCCCAACTGACAACCTCAGTCATAAATACAACTCCCCTCACTTTCTCCAGGAAGAGGGGGGAAACTACGGAAAGAACAGCCTCACCACACTATACTCTTTTTCCGCCATCCAATCCTGCCCCAAGTGAGAGGTCACGTGACTACCAGCCTCTATTAAGGCAACAGAGGGACGGGGCAGGGCCAATCCACTTCATTCTCGTCCTCGGCTTCTCATTGGTCAGTGCGAAAGATGCAGGGGGGGGCGTCCGCGTCCGCAGCGGCGGGAATGGCGTCGAGCGTCTGAAACGGAGGAAAGGGCAGGCCTGCGCGGCGCGTGCGCCGTGCGGTGGCGAGCTTCGGGCGGCCGTTTTTCTCCCCGTCACTCCGCAGGGAGGCGTGGGCGTGCTCGGAGGAGTCGGGCCGCGACATGCTATTGGCTGTGGCTGCGGGGGCCGAAGTGGGGCGCCCCTGCACCCCTTTCCCTCGCACTTTCCTGGGCGCTGCTTCCTCCCGTTGGCCGGGGTTGGTTGCCCGAGTGCAGCGCTGCAGACAGAAGGGGGAGGCGTGGAGCGGGAGGACGACGGCGAGCTGTCCAGGGTGGCTGGAGTGAGCCGAGGGGAGACGCGTGCCCTCTTCGCGGGCACGGCTGCGCCTGGTAGTGTAGCCCGGTCCGTAAATGGCCACTGTGAGGAGAAGCGGGGCAAGCGCGGGGCGCTTTTGTTGGGAGGCTCCGCCTGAGGGACGAGCGAGGCGCGGGGAGAAGCGGGCGCAGTGCGGTGTTGGCGGCGCGAGGAGGTCCAAGTCCAGATTTTTTTTTTCTTCTTTTTTAAGGGGAGCCATTTTGAGGAAATCCAAACCGGGCGTGGGGGAGACACTGATTCGTGTGAGGCCATTGGTTGGAAGAGGGCGACTTGTTGATGAGTCTGGCTGGCGAGCTCTCCATACTTGCATGCACAGTTGAGAGAGATGCTTCTAAGCCTGGGCTTTACCTTTACCTAGTACAGAAAAAGGAAAACCCCCATCTGCAGACAAACAGAGCATGGTGTCCCATCCTCCCGCCACTGAAAATCAATGGGAACTTTCCGCAGTCATATAACATGGCATTTTCTTTTCATCGGTAAAGCTGTTATTGCATCTCTCAAGTTCTGCCAGGGTCTTTTGGCCGTGTTTTCCACTGGCACACGACTTGGACTGCCTTCTGGGAATGGCCCTTTCCTCCTTGGCATTTCAGCTTTTAAGCTTTCTTATCTGCAAGTATTCCAGCATGGATTTCATCAGAATGGCCAACTCTTGGATATGGAGTAACCATTCCCTGCTCCGGAATATAGTTGGGTGGGGTGCTTTTTAAAAATGCAGCACCCTTCATATTGTTTAAGAATGTAGAGATAGGCATTTGTCTTTCTC